CAATTACGTGGAGCGACATTCTTCACGAGCTTCCTACACGATCCGTGTTTGCATCGGACGATTTTGCTGACCAATTCGCGGTTGGCCTGAAGAACGTAATTATCACCGTGGGAAAAGAGATCGCGAACAAAACAGCACAGTACAAAGCAGGATATGATCTCCAAAACAAGGTATACACAAAGGACATTTCCATAGGTGATCTTGTTCTCTTACATGACGACACTGTTCGTCCGAAACTTACAAACAAATGGAAAGGTCCTTTTTTGGTCGAAAGAATAGACCGTCCTAACATAACAATCACTAACCTTGTAGGTCGCCAAAAGCGACAACTTGTGCATCTTGATCGGCTCAAACTTTACTCGGCACGTTCCCAATCAGATGATGTTTCCACACCTAAACCATTAAACCAATTAACACCACAGTCAAACGAGGACCCAATCAGACGATGTTTCCACGCCTAAACCATTAAACCTATTAACACCACAGTCAAACGAGGATTAACACCACAGTCAAACGAGGATAGGGAACAACCATTAATCAGGCGTTCACGCCGTCTTCAGGAGAAACACTGTATTTTCAGCGACGATCCGTGAAAAAGGTAAAGTTATAAGGAGTCTGTCACTACAACCAGACAGCCTCCGCTGGTCAGTTCAACACATTTTTTTTCACATAATGCAATGTCGCGATCATCATACTTGCACTCTTTGAATTGGCGGTTCAAAGAGCCCCCGTGCAGCGCTATCCCACACATTGTTCTATCTTAAAATACAAAAAAAACAAAACGCCCTTATACTAGTCGTATTTGACGAGACTAGTATTCGCATCACAGTACTTTCTCTATGTTCATATACCAGTCGAACCTAACCACGCTCAGATTGTTATATGTATCACATTTTCCATACCAGTCCGTTATTATTTAGCATAACTCGGTCTGGTTCTACATATGTCTTAGATTTTGACCTACATGTAGTTTTACTTGAACTGTAATAAGTTCTTATTTTGCTATTTTTATTTTGCGTTGCACGATCTCACATTCGAACGAAACACTGTATAACGCATAGGACTAGCTTTCGTATGGTATTATGAGAACGAAGTAGCTAGCACAGTGTATATGTATGACTCATAACGTAACCAATCGCGAACGAATGTAACACATATACTCATATCCCCACACCTCTACTTTTTCCTTTCTGGCTCGAGGTCGAGCCCTCTTTTTGAAAGTACGGCGAAAGTTCGAGTTCTCACTGTCGAGAGAGTCTCACATTTCACCAGCCAGTTCTTCTGTTGTATGTTCGAAACGTTCGAGTTCTCACTGTCTAGATAGGCTCACTTTTCATTAGCCAGTTCTT